TGAACTCACTGCAGTGAGTTTGGGTTTGGGGCTTTGGTTGATGTGCAGTGTTATATACATTGGGCTGCAAACCGCAAGACCCACCCGCCCCTCTGCAGGAGCAAGAGGAGGCTTTCTATTCCCGTAAAAAGTGACCACCTTTGAAACCCACAGGGGCACGTCTCCTCTGTCCCGTAGGGGTGCCGTGATCTGGAATCGCCTGAAGGGCAGTGAGGATGCTGACACATGTCAACAATCTAAAGACTGGACTCAGCCCACAGAACTCTCTCCTTAGAAGATCCCACGTTCACACCTCTGAGGTGATTTGCCTTTGAACGGCCCCCTTCAGTTGTTAGTCGAGCTCCGGGCCTTTCCTAGAGATTTTATACTGGCTGGATCATAAAAGTAGGAATAGGCTCTAAGAGCCAGATGGGCCGTTTATGTGAAGCCCGATCCTATTTCAGGGCAAGATGGACACGTTAACCATTTGCACCCCTGAGCGATTCCCCAATGCCCACCAGACCAGTTAAAATTCCTATCAGAGTGTTGACTCTGACATAGAGAGTGTGGGTTCAAGACCTGGCGTTACAATTTCCTAGCTGTCTGTGTGACCTAATCTTTCAGGCCAGTCTCTAACCCATCCGGTGGAGGCAGGTGATAATGACACCACTGCTTGGGGGACAGGCAATTACACAGAGATGGAGGGGAGAGAGACAGAGAGCAGAGAACTGCATCGGAGAACAAAAAGATAAACAAATAAAACCTATGGCAGTGCTTTGAAGCTAAAAGGCATTCTGTCAGGCCCAGTTATCACTTTAACCAGCAAGTGAGGGGTGGACAGCAGCACAGGGACACAGTGAAAAAGAACGCAATGAATCTAGACCATGTGAGTCAGTGGCTGCTTATTTCACCGAGGCTCACTTGATGCAGTGTTGTGTTTCTCTCTTTGTGTTTCCCTCGGCTGTGAGTGCCGAGAGCGACCGGCTGTGTTCGTGACTGTCTCTTTCACAAACGGCACACACGGCCAGGAGCAACCTGCAGAATGCAGTTTGAAGTTAATTCTCCTTTTGAAATAAGAGCCAGTAACAAGTGCCAGGCCACTGGTGCAAAGAAAAGGCCTTAGTTAATCTAAGAATGTGGCTGGCACGGAATACACGATGCTTCTTTTCAATGAGGCTTGGATGGGCAGGTGGAAGCTGAGTTTGACAACCTATGAGTTCTTCTGAATATCTGTCCTTGTGTGTGGTCAGGTTTAGAGCAGGGGTACCAGAGGAGGAGGCAACGGCCCCTGGAGGGCATGGAATGACGCTGGCATACAAGAGAAATAATGAGAATGCTTACTTATTTTTACCCTTCTCAGTGCATTCATGATTATGTTTGTTTTCTCTTTTAATCATTTTACTGTGGGCTCATACAGCTCTTTTCAAAATACATATATATGTCCATTGTGTCAAGCACATTTGTACATTTGTTGCCATCATCATTTTCAAAACATTTTCTTTCTACTTGAGCCCCATACATAATACAATGATAACATGCTCAACTTAGAAATAAGTAAATGTATCTACATCTATACATTCATTTCTATCTATCTAGCTGTGAGAAAATGGGGCTTTCTGGTCCCATAAAGAGTTATAGAATCAGAAACTCACAGGGCCAGTTCTACCCTGCCCTATAAGGTCCCTATGCGTTGACATCAACACAATGGCAGTGAGTTTTTTTTGAGATATATATAGATAGATACAGATCGAAAAATTCTCAGGAATGTTTCCTGAAGGGAGCCTGGTCAAATTCACCTGGGCACCATTCTTACAGAAGAAAGACGTGTCTGGAGTTTTCTCTGGGTTTTTGTCATTGCCAACTCTGTGATGAGTCTTTTCTGAAGATGGCCCACGTTCACTTAGCCTGGGCAAACAGTGAAGTAGAAAGAGCGGGTTCTAGTCTTAACGCTGCCATTCCACTCATTGCTGACCCGCCCACGTGACCCTGGAGGAATTCCTTATGTTTCACGTGCTGCATTTTAGTCATGTCTCGGTCACATGATGGGAGCAATACCATTTGCAGAGTTGTTTTGAGGACTCACTAGAATCGTGTTCATCATTTACTGCCCTTTCCTTTCTGCTCCTGGCTGTCAAGGTAATGGTTTCAGGTGTGAGTGTTCAGACTGCTCTCACAGTCCCGCCTCCCTTTCTTGCCTGCTCTGCTTTGTGACCTGTGTTTCTCAGGGGCTCGCTCATTCTGATTAGCCAGGAATCATGAGGCGGACTTTAGGATGATCCACTTGTTACGTGGCTAGTGTGACTGAGGAACTGGATTTTTAGTTCCGTGCATCTAATTTTAAATAATGTCAATTATTTAAATAATGCATTTTTACATGATTTAAATATTCAACTATTGAAATAGCCACACGTGGTTATTGGCTTCCCTATTAGGACAGCTCTAGAGATTGCCAAGGAAACACAGAACTGAAGATATTTAAAGGATGATAAATCAGTAATGGCATGGGGAAAAAAAACGAAAGAGCTCCCATCACTCGGCCGGAAACTTTTGAGAATCCTGGAGAGAAAGCAGAAAATAGGTTTACAGAGCGTGCGGCTCTGGGAGCCCAGAATCAGCCGAGCACTGCGGCAGAGGGAGACCCACAATGAGAACATTCCGAACTCAGAATCTGTAGGCCCAAGAAGTGTAAGGAGGCTCAGGGTCATGACTAAAGTGATGAATCAGAAACCGGAGCCAGCTTGGTTGGCCAGTAGCTTTCCTTGCCTTTCCCTACTGTGACCAGTGGGCATTACCAATAGGACTCCAGCCGAAGAGGCCAGAAAGTCTGAGGCGTGTCTTCATAGGTATTCAAAAGCTGGGCCATGCATTCAGAAGCACGAAGAAGCACTGATGCCTTTGAATTATGGTGTTGGGGAAGGATGATGAATATACCATGAGTCACCAGAAGAACGCACAGTTCTCTGTTGGAATAAGTACAGCCAGAATGCTCCTTGAAAGCATGGATGGCAAAGCTTCATCTCATGGACTTTGGGCATAGTCTCAGGAGGAGCCAGTCCCTGGGAAAAGAACAACATGCTTCCTAAAGTAAAGGCTCAGAGAAAAAGAGGAAGCCCCTCCGTAATGTGGAATGACAAGTGGCTACAACAGTGCCCTGACAGACAGCAACGGGTGAGAGGGTGACCTACGACCAGGCGCTGGTTCCTCCTATTGTACATTGGGTCGCTATAGATCCAAAATTTGACAGCATCCGACAACAGCTGGACTTCCTACTCCTGTAAATAGTACAGTCTTGGAAACCCACAAGGGGTCGCTATGAGTCAGCATGGACTTGATGGCATGAGTCGGGATTTTGGTTGGAAAAACAACAGTGACTTCCAAACGAACCCTGTTGGCATAGTGGTTACATGTTCCGATTCTAACAAAAAGAGCAATGATTTCAACCACCA